TAGGCAGGCAAATTATGCACCCATTACAACATTATGTCTAATCCTGATTACTCTAACTAATTTTTTGAGGAATGTCTCTTGAAATTGTTCAGAAACATGCTACATTTTCTGAGCTTTATTCTTCAAACAACTTGGAAAACTATCTTAAGTTTTCTAATCATGAAAATTTTCCATCTAGCATGAGTGTACACATCTATAATCCCTGCAGTTAATGTGGGGTATACAGCTGTAACCACTCTAGCTAGTGTGAGATGCACAGCTGTAATCCCTGCAGCTAGTAGGGGGTACACACCTATAACCCCTGAAGCCAGTATGGGGTACACAGCTGTAACCACTCCAGCTAGTGCAAGGTGCACAGCTGTAATCCCTGCAGCTAGTAGAGGTTACACACCTATAATCCCTGCAGCTAGTGTGTGGTGCATGACTGTATTCTCCACAACTATTGTAGGGCAGACGCACACCAGTAATCCTACCTAGCCTTTGGGAAGTAGAGGCAGGCAGGTCAGGAGTTTGAGGACAAATGAGCTATGTAAATCAGACTCAAAACACCAGAAAAACAACTTAAAAAAACAAAAAACTCTACAGAACTTAAATTTGTTTTACAAATTATCATTTTTACAAAACTGAAACTTGCAAAAATAAAAAAACAACATCTAAATGGGGGATGTCTTAGTTAGGGTTTCTATTGCTGTGAAAAGACACCATGACCACAGCAATTCTTGTCAAGGAAAACATTTAACTGGGGTTGGCTTACAGTTTCAGAGGTTTAGTCCATCATCTTCATGGCAGCGTTCAGGCACTGTGCTGGAAAAGGAGCTGAGAGTTCTACATCTTGAGCCGCAGACAGCAGCCCACACTGGGCATAGCTTGAGCATCAGAGACCTCAAAGCCCACTTCCACAGTGACATACTTCATCTAACAAGGTCACACCTCCTAATAGTGCATTCAAACACAGGAGTCTATAGAAGCCATTCCTATTGAGACCACCACAGGAAGGTTCTGCACACCCTGCACACAGGACTTCCTTGGAAGGCACCAGGTACTTAACATCTTTGGTCTTGTACCACTGGGTGATCACTGTCTACTGTCCTATCGTTTACCTTCCATGCTAGTCTTACATAATCTGACTTTCAAACGTGCACGTTTCTCACAGATACACTGGATTCACTGAACTCCTCCTTTGTGCATACAGCAGGCATTCAATTCATGCTTGTGTAAAAGAACAGAATCCATGTAGACCAAACTTTATTGTCGTAACAAATTGTATAGTTACACCGAGCAAAAGAGACCTTTAAGTTCTGTACCTCCCTAAAAGCAAGGAGCCTACCTACTCTGGAGAGTACACAGCAGCCAGGGTCGGCACACACTCTCAGGCCCCCAAACCATACAGGTTGTAATGACTAAAGATTCAGGGATTTTATAAACTATCCTTCAATAAAGTACACAAAATATTCATTTTAATAAAGTTTGTTTTTAAAAAACATAGCCATTTAATTATTACTATGACCCCACAAGACTCACATGAAAATAACACATAAAGTAGAAAAGGAGAAAAGCCAAATGAGTATGCAGAAAAGTTGATTCCTGGCAGCTCGCTTACTTCTGGGCTTTCTTTCTGGTTCTTGAACCTTGAAGAGGAATCAGAAAAAGTCACATCAGTAATCATTACTTCACAAAAGGGAGGGTCAGAAGCCCAAATCTCTTCATATCTGCCTGACTGACGTCTGTGGAAATGAACTCCACACAGGGCCTAGCTGTGGCTGGAGAGTCTAGGAACTGTCAGTTTACTGTTCAGTCGCAGCCCACCAGGAAAAGCACCTCCCAGCATTTCTCCCCAAGATTTGTACTATAAAATTTGATACATTAAGTTCCAGTGCAACTTCCGAGTTCACACTTCCTGGGGATACACTGGGGTTACACACGGCACAACGACAAGAGGGCTGTCCTTTACAGCCTACTCCCCAAGCTCACAGGCAGGAGCTAACAGGACAGTCCTCCCTGCTGCCCCTCACAGCCAATCCTGACCTAAGGCCCTAGGAACAGCTCCTATCCACCTCACAAAGGGATTCTTCTCCCTGGCCTGACCATACAGCCCGGCACTGACCTCAGGTTCTTCCCCAGCCTCAAGCTCTCTGGATCAGAATGACCCACAGTATTGGAATGAGGGCATCCTGGTAGTCGATAGTTAACCAACTTCTTTTTGAAAAAGAACAGAATTTTCTTTGAATCTGAGATAAAATTTCTAATCCCACACAAGTAATTATAGTTTCTAAAGGTATTCTGATCATGGGCGGTTTTAGTTACTTAGCTGGAAAATCAGTTTTAAAATTAAATTTTTTTCCAGTCAGTTTCTGTTCAACTCTTCACTTCAGTCGCACAAACTTTCGTGAGCACCATGCGCCACTCACACAGCCGGTACACCATGGCTGACTAACAATCTGGGGCTTTTCTTAACTGTAATATACTGGTAGCTAGAGGGGCTCATAAAGCCCCGCCCCTCTATGAGTGCATACAGGCGGAAATGGTTGCTGGGGTGGTTGTATAAGTAACACCTCAACCAGGACTCTACCAACCCTAATGAAACTAAGTAACCAGGCAAGTAAACAGATGAAGAGGGAGTAAGTGGGAAGAGGAAAGGCATGTATGGGAGAGTGGCCAGAACAAACACATTCTACATTCTACAGAAATACGAGTACCACGACAAAACCATTATCATGTATAATTAACCTACACTAATAAAAATAAGCTAAAAAGACTGACCAAGAAGAAATTAAAAGCTTTGATATTGCAAAATAAATTCCATGGTATATTTTGAGGTTTTCATTTCTAGAATGTTAAAGTCAAACCTACAAAGAAAACGAGAACTGTTGTGACTGTGAGGCTGTCCTGACAGCCATCTCCAAATCAACACCAAGCAGCTCACTTCCAGTGAGCTTTGAGTCCAAAGGCACATGGCAGACACGAGGTAACTGCCACGCTGTACTTAACCAATGCTCTCTTACAAACATCCTAACTTGACAATTCACTCTTATGCTAAATATTACTGCTTGTCCCTGTGGTCTAGACTTAGCACTGCTTGCTGCAATTCAGAATGCTCTTTAGATTTAGAATGTAATTTAGATTCCTCTTGGAATCTAAAGATTCAGAACCGACCTTGATCCAGGAGTCTCTGCTGTACAGGACAGTCCAGTGTTTTCCCCAATGATCAGTTCTGCTATGTGTATATGTATGTGTGTGTGTGTGTATATATATATATATATATATGTCTCTTTAAAATAAAACCACATTCACAACACAGTACTGCTGGCAACAGACCTAATCGTAAAATCAATGTGTAAAATATGATAGTTCAAAAATAAAATATACAAGTTTGGGGAAACCCTTTCACCGTTTTATAAATAGGTGAATGTGGGGAGCATCCAGCAGGGTTTTCTTATAAACATCTGATCCCTGACTGTTTGGTATTTTCCCAGCCCTTAGTGCTTGACGACTAAGTAACCCCGAGAAGAGTGGTCCCCCACTGTCCGACAAGGACAAGCACACAAGCCATAAGGATCATGGCCACATCAACTAATTTTTAGTACAATTCTGAAATATTGGCACAGTTTTAAAATACCAGAATATACATGGTTTTTAAGACTTATCATTTTGTAAGAGGGGGAAATTACTTGCAGCAAATAACCAAATTTTCTCAATTGGTAAAAATTATGCCTTGCATAAAAATAAAAGGATTAGAGGCCTCAGTTTGTTCTGGGCACCACCCGTCACCCTCTCTTTCTCTCACAGCCTGCACAATAACACAGAGAAAGCTTTCAGAGTGCGTGCCCACACAATAGACCCCCAACTATTCAAAATGAGTTTAGGTGTATCAAGAAAATTACACACGGTTTTAAAATGGTCTAAATAGATATTAAAGGAGAGTTGCTCCCATTTTGCGAGGCACAGCATTCTAAAAGATCACACGGTGAGAAAAGTCTCTCACCACGTTGTAAACCAGAAACTGTGTTTGAAAATAAAATTGTTAATGAAGAAACTGACATTTCTAGAGCTGCCACTAAAGGCAGCCATTCTTGAAACACATTTATGACACAAAATCCTAAAGCTCCAAACCGCAAAATTCATGGAATTTATCGTATTTCTCAAAATATTAAAAAACACAAAAGCAGCAATGTGCCCTGCCCTCTCCATGAAGTGACTTAAATTGATGACTATAGATGTATACATTTACATGACCCTTGGCCTGTTTTTTTTTTTCCTTCCCTAGAATCAACATTTACCAACTACCTCAGGCAATATTTCTCCCCTATGAATATTCTAATAGTAAAATAACTACCCTTGTACTTTGATGGGGGGGGGCTGCAATGAAAAAAAAACAAAGCAATCATTTAAGCAAAATGTTGGGCATAGTGGTGTACCCCTTTAATCCCAATTTGGGGTGGGGGTGGGGGCACAGAGACAAGTGGATCTCTGAATTCAAGGCCAGCCATGGCTACTTAGAGAGCTACAGGCCTGCCAGACATACATAGCAAGACCATCTTAACAGGGTGTGTGTGCATGTGTGTGTTAACTAAGCAAAGTAATTCTGAGTTTGCATGAATACAGAAGAATCTGATTATTCTTAAGAAGTTAAGCAGCTGGGCATGATTGCACCAGTCTTTAATCAGGAGGCAGAAGCAGGTGGATCTCTGAGTTCTAGGCCAGCCTGGTCTAGGGCTGCAACAGAGAAATCCTGTGTTCAAAAGCAAAACAAAAAAGTTTTCGAGCAATCGAGCAGTTCTAAATAAGGAGTACCATCTAAGCTCAGTGATACTTTCTCATAAGAACTGCCAGTTACAGTTACCACATTCCTTATTTATTTATTTTGGTTTTTTGAGACGGGGTTTCTCTGTGTAACAGCCCTAGCTGTCCTGGAACGAGCTCCTGTAGACCAGGCTGGCTTCAAACTCACAGAGATCCACCTGCTTCTGCCCCCCCCAACCCCCCCCCCGTGTTGGGATTAAAGACCACTACTGCCTGGTGAACAGTTACTATATGCTTATATCAAAACTGCCAGCACTGAAGTGTTCATGGTTAAATGGAGAGTTTTAAGGCACACACTCTCAAAGCGAAGACCCTCTGTGTTTATCGAGCAGCATTCAGGTCGCCAACGACCCCCAGGCTAAGAGCGCATGTCTGACTCAGGCACATCTGGGACCCGCCTGGACAGACTGCTGGTCTGGCCTACTACAACATTAGGCTTGCAGCAACTGCAATGACAAGGCTGCTTTAAAGCTTGAGGGTGTGTTCAAAGGTAAGAACAGAACGTCTTCATCAGTGCTACTTAGTTCGTTCCCACTCACTGTCAGAGCTGCTGCAGCTCGCCTCTGGCTGAGACATGCTTCCATGTATTGCACCTTGGGACTCCTCACTTCCTAGTAACAAAATGAACAAGACAGGGAAGGAGGCAGTAAAAAACAAACAGTAGCAAATGGGAGATGGCAGCATTAGAAGGAAAGGAACTACTGCAGAGCTTTGGCCTCCTGACATCCCAGGGATTCTCTGGGTAAACGCAGATGAACCCGACCATGTTGGATCCATAATATATAAAGACTAAATGCTAATAAAAATCAGGATAAAGGTGGCTTATTTTCCAAAGCTGCTTTCCAGCATGTACCAGAGCCACTGTCAAAATACAGTGCTGGCCTAAGTCAGCAGGGCATTTATGCTATCCTGACATTTTTGCCCAAAACATGGCTATTCATCAGAAATTAAGAAATGCCCCAGGACCAACAAATAAACAAAATGTTGAGAAAGAGGAAAGAAATCTTTAAGAAGCACTCAATCCAAAAAAGCACTGCATGGGGACACCAACACACAGACAAGTCGTCTTAGCTGGCCCGTGCAGATGCTGCCTTTGCTGACACCATTTCTAACTGTGGTTTTACAGGCATTGGTTTCAATGCCAGCCTCTAAAACTAGAAGTAACTTCAAATCTTTGCTTTTGCATCAACTAAACAGTGAAGTTTCCAAACTTCCTAACTGGCTGGGATGTACTGCAGAGAAGTGGACTGTGGCACAAGCATGCCACGAGGTATATGACTCACTGTGAGGGAGTGGAAAGCTGTGGGCCTGACAAGCAATTCTGGTCTCTACCTCCTAAGTCCCAGTCACCACTACGGTGAAGAGCAAGTGACATAATGTGTATACGAAAGACACTCCAATACACACTGTGCCAACACAAAACCTATCCACAGGATAGTTTATCATCAAATGGAAATTCTACGACTCACGTGGTTAGCCTGTCATGTGGGAGGAAGTACAACTTGGGGCTGTACAAGGAAGGACTAAGCAATGCTCCTCACTTACGAGTCTGTATGGCCTCTTCCACCTGTGTATCCGAGCACTCCATGTCTTCCACACTACAGGCCGTGCTTTCTTCTACTTCTTTCTTCCGCTTCTTACACATGAAAGAAAGTTTGAAAGACAAGAGAGAGACAGATGTAGTCTTCTGCCCACAAAAGCAAATATACATAAATTAGCATGTCTCAGTGTAAGAGTCTCAAAACAAACAGAAGAACCTAACAGAAGGATCTGGAACACAGCCCTCCAGCAGTCAGCTGGGTGGAGAATCTTTTCTTCCACCACCTCTAATTTCCCATGCTTTAGTCTACACTAAGTCACACTTGATCAAGAAGAAATTCTTTCAGGACATGAAATGTCTTCACAGGCCAGTGACACTCATACTTCTTCACAACACGGATGGAGGAAGATGCAGAGGCTGCGAGCCTGAGAACACACACCTCACCTCACACCTAGAGTCTAAATTTGTTGGCAAATTCTGTCCATGAACCAGTGTTTCTTTAGAGTGCTTCTTAGCAAATACTTGAGTGCCATTGTTGAAATAAGAGCGTCGGCGGGGCTGCGTCCCCAACACCCCGGCCGCTTGGCTAGCTCATGCCCAAAATAACAACGCACAAACTGTATTCATTTAAAGAACTGCTTGGCCCATGAACTCTAGCCCTTACAGGCCAATTCTCGCACCTGGACTAGCCCATTTCTAATGATGTGTGTAAGCACCCCAAGGTGCGCTTACTGGGAAGATTCTAGCCTCCGTCCATCATGGTGTCTCTGCTCCAGAGAGCAGAGCTGTCTGGTCTCTCCAGGAGCAGAGCAGAGTCTGACCTCACTTCCTCTTCCGCCCAGAACTCTATTCTGTTTTCTCCTCCCATCTATGTTCTAAACTATGAGGCCAAGCAGTGTGTTTATTACTTAACCAATGAAATCAACAGATTGATATATGACACTCCCACATCAGTGCCATAAACATTGCTGAATGACATTTTAAGCACTGAGTTCTCCTGGTGGCCTGGAAGTCGTTCAGATTCTCCACACTGGTCCTTCCGTCTTCCATGTTCTTGCCTGTGGCATCTGGAGTACAGGCCTGTCTGTACTCCTTTGCCTTCCACTCTTCACAAACACTCTACAAGACAGAGCTCGGCCAATTCTGTGCTGAGTCATTTAATTAGTTAACATCTCTATAAGTGTATTTATAGAGGGATGTTGGCAATAAATATAAAACACATTTTTCATGTAGTCTTATCCTATGTGTGCCCAAAGTAAAATGTGCAGCAGTCCGAATTCTATTCAAAGATTCTCTAAGTTCCTTGAAGTAATTCTGGATCAATTCAGATATGCATCTGACATGTCCCAGACTCCACAGCACGATGCAACAGGACGTCCTCACTTACACTGTCTAGCAATTAAGTTCAACTTTATCTCAGAGTGTTCCTTGCTGCAGGCCATTTTGTGTACACTGCAGAAGATAATATTCACTGACAGCACAGCATTCTTTCCCTAATGGTAACCACAGGTTCTGCCCTAGATAACAAAGCCAACGTGTGCAAGCTACCATGATTCATATTCAGTGCTTAGAGCCGCTGTAGGTGCATCACGACCAAGCCCACTGTTTTAAGGCAGGTATAAGGTGGCTGTAGAGGAACGCAGAGGAACCTAGCCTGTACCCAACGAATAACCCGATTAAACCTTAAGGAACTTTCAATGGCATTCACTTAGGAGATTTGCATAAGAAGGTACTGCTTCTTAAACATAGCCATGAGAACAGTTCTAACTTCACACAGCTGATGAGGGAAGGGGAGAATGCCTTACATCTTTCTTTTCCAAAGTGTTGCTTCATGATTACCATCTAAACCCTGCTGGGCTGAACAGATTGCCTCGATAATTACATACAATAACTGCAGTGGGCAGGTAACCCTCAGCTGGCACGGGCAGCTCCCCTGTGAGAGCCTCCATATGCAAGTGCACTGATGGAGTGCGTTAGGTACGTCTTTCCTGCCGGTTCACAGGCCTGATTAACGGCAGCCAAGACTCCAAGGTTAGTGTGTCAGCAGACTTGTGATGCATTAGGCAGGGATAAACACAGACACTTTTGTTCGTTCAGACCCAAATTAAGGAGGAATATTTCAGCACTGTTCTGTGCTCCATATAGGCTAGAAAGCAGTTTCCAGATTTTAGAGGGTAGTTTTGAAGTGCTCATTATGAAGGGAGCTAGCCGGTATTTCTGACTGAAGAGCCCAGCACATTCAATCTGTTTTGAAGCTTATTTAATAAAAAATGAGCTTTCTTAATCTCCATACAGGTGAATTACAAGGAATGAAAATCAGACAGCATTCAGCTGAGGAAAGGAACACCTGTGCATCAAGGAAGGTGGTGGTCACATTCACCCCACACCCCAGTCAGGAAGCTCCCACCCAACTTTCCTGACAGCACATGCTGTCTGGGGAGAAAGGGCCCATGATCTAAAGATCACCAGTTAGCAAAATAAATGAAGTAAGGATGGTACATGATTCATAGGGCAACACACAAAAATCCCAAACAGGCTGCTGGGCTGTCTTCTGAGCATTTCTGCCAGTATCCTTACGCTTTGGGTGTGCGCGTGTGGGCTCCACCCGAAATGAAAAGCTTCCCACGTGGCTGTGCCAATCTTTGATTCTCTGACAGTCCCCACAATGTCTCGCAGGTGCCTTTATTTGCATTTATAAATGAAACCAAAATACTGTATGACACACAGGGGCAACTTACAAAATACACATGGGATAGAGTATGCTTTTAATTCAACATAGAAAAAGCTCTTTAAAAAATAGGTTTATTTCAAAGGACATTAGTATATACCCTACACATTATATTTTTAAAGTGTTCAGATATGCTAGGTTAAAATTCAGTTAATTAGTTGCTTCTCACTTCCAATTTAGAAACAGGAAGACAAATCAGCTGACTGGACTGGACTGATAATTTACTAACAGTCTAAACACTGACTGGAGACCAAGAGAGCTGTTTCAACAAAAAGGACAACAAAAATCTTCAGAGGCAAAACCATAGATCGATTCTCTGCTCAAGTCAAGCTCTAGAAAATCATATGCAAAAGCATGTGACAGCCTTTAGGAAACACCATCCAGATCCATGGCCATCTTCAAACAAGTAAGTGATGCTCTCAGGGTGCCCTTCCCCTTACTACAGGCACCCTTTTCATTTTAAAGACAAAGAACATGCAGCCTAAAACTCGCAGCCAAAGATCTCCAGGCACAAATATGCACAAACCAGCTCATCTGAGTTGTCAGAGCCCAGTAAAGTCACCATGCAAATGCACACATTCAGACTGCTCTACTCTAGAGCAACTACAATGGGACATTAGTTACTAAGAGCACTGGGGGAGGATGACGTGAGTGACAGCAAACATGGTGTGCCACAGAACCTGCAGCCTACAGATTCAGTTAAAAAACACGAAATGGGAAAAAATGAAGAGAGGGACACAGGAAAGCCAAGGAGAATGTGCTCCTTGTTTTTCAGCTCAGGGCAACAAGGAGACTCGAACCCACTGCAGTTCTCGGGCAGATGTCTCCTCCTTATGTGACTGGTGATTATGGAACAGCCATTGTTAACCACTGTGTATGTTTCCAAGGAGGAAGAATGCACAAACTGTGCTCTTGTCGGAGTTACGTTCACATCTGTTTCCTTCTGTATGCTCTTCCAGGGTAGGGACTCAGTCCTATCCATTCCTCACCCTAGCTGAGCTTTAGCACAGCACTGTACATGGATCTGCACATACAGCAGCTATTCAACTACTGCAACCACGGCAGAGTTAGTTCAGTCTTACCTAGGTCTGCCAAATGCTGTGCTATTTAAGTGGAAACGAAATAATTAAGATACATTTGAAGAAAACATTAGAAAGTATCATTCACAGTTAGAAGAAGAACTTCTAATTAAAAATGGGAAGTAGGCTAGGAAATGAACAAATGACTTTTTTGAGAAAGACAGATGATTTGAAGACTCATCCAATACTGTTAGAACACAGTAAAATGCTTGTTGTCTGAGGTGGGGCAAAGACGAAGACCGCTCCAAGAGTAAGGGACACTGTAACATCTCTCTCCAGAGCACCAGCCTCTACCCAAGTGAAGACAGCATCTACTGTGTGGCTAGCACGGTGACTAGCTTCTTCTGAATGTTATAAAAACAAAATAAGATTAAAACCATCTGACATCCTTTAATCCCAGCACTCAAGGAGAGCAGATTTTTTTGAGTGGGGGCCAGACTGGTCTACATAATGAGTTCCAGGCCAGCTGGGGCTATACAGTGACACAGTCTCACCCCCAAAAAGGAGGGAATTAAAGTAGAAAAGTACTGCAGTTTTTATGAAAGCATTAAATACACACATGTTCAGTCTCCACACCTGGTTGCCTTTTCATACACTGTGTATAAAAATCCTTTCCATGTTTCACAAACGGATGCTCCATATAACCCTACATACATGGAATTTCATTCTATGAAGTATTCATTCTTAAGCAGGCATAACATAACATGCCTTCATGGCCAACTCCCAATTTTCCAGTTATTTATCTAAATTTAGACATTTGTCTAAATTTAATTCTCTTACTAACAATTTTAATCTGCTCTGGGGATAGGAAGAAGAAATACAATTCAAGTAATTTTGCTAACTATTAACAAGTTTAGGGAGGAGAGTTTTAAAAAGGAAAATGTTTAAATTCAGTGTTCATTCCTACATGGAAGGGTTTACCATGAGCACCTGAAAAGGTACACCAGCAATCACCAGCAACCATTTAGCTGTGCAGCCACTACCGATGCAGTCATCTGTGCCGGGCATCACAGGATAGCATCCTCTTTACCACCCACTTGCCTATTATGCAGCATGTTTGTGTCCCCTCTGGCTCGCCTCTTGAAGACCCAGAGAAAAAGCTTAGGAGCCCTTCTGATACTCATTTTATTAGAAAAACAGTTCATGAATAGGTGAGCAGAAAACCTAGCCAGAGCCTACAGACACACTCCTTGCAGAGGTTCCTAGTAAAGTAGCAACTTAGGCCGGGAAGGCTTCAGCTGCACATCTGAGGACAACATGTGCAATTTTGGGCAGCAAGGGCTCTCCTG